CTATTGAGGAGACGTACAAGGGGAGATGAATGCATATTTTTTATACATTTATATAAAAAAGATTATATGGTCGCCATTTATACTCTTAATAAATAAATCCTTGGTTTATCAATTTTTACTTCAATTTGTTAGTGTGAGTTTATTTATTTGTCTGCTTGCAAACTTGATCTGTGATTACTTACTGGGAAGCGCAAGTTTTTGGCATCTATCCGTGAGAACGGCACAGCTAAGCTAACACTAATCTTGCGATACGGTAACTATGAAACACTTTTGAACTTAGAACATGTGTTTTTTTCACGTATGAGCTGTACGTATATGTATGTATACATATATATATATATATATATATATATAGAGCTTGATAAATAAATGAATTTAAACTATAAACAAAAACAACATTGTAGTTATTTCCAGGATTCCTATAAGTGACTACTTCGTCCTATGATTCGCTGTAAAAAAAGTATGGTAAGATTTGCGCTAAATCAAATTCTCACGCCGGTAAAGAAGATATATATTTTAAACGCTTTCTGAAATTTGCTTCGATATATATTACAACAGTGCTGACTAATCTATATATTAAAAATATCATTTTTAAAAATATCGTTGTTAAATATCGCTTTATATGGAGTCATACTTACTTGATTTATAAACATTCTGCAGCTCTTTTTACGTACCATCCATTGATTTATAAACATTCTGCATCTCTTTTTACAAAGCAAAGGCATTTACAATGCTTTTTGCCTTGCTTTATGCGACGTACAAAAAGAAAAAAGGAGACAAGCACTGATCGTAATTGTTTTCTTTTCATTGCTCATATGTCAGCTTACTTAGAAAACTTCTAAATTTTATTTTCATCAAACGATTCAAAAAATGTCAGTGCAAATTAGAAGTATGAAGAAATATTCGCAATTAAAAAAAGGTTGTACTGTAGGAATGATTTATCATTTGCGATCTCAGACGTGACATTATTTGCCCTATTAACAGGCCGATGTTCAATCACACGAGATGTAATGATCATCTATTCACTTTTAACATTAACATAATAAAAAACCCTTTATGCAGTTGAAGGGTCTTACAATCTCCTGATCATATCGTATTTGGCTGTACGAATGTTACCGCTTCTATTCGCCATTCCACACTCCACAAACTGAGTATATGTGGTTTTCGTGACCACAGCCTTCTTGGCAATATATGTTCACGCTATTTAACAGCGTTTACAGTCAATTTGGGAACCTATTCTAATTTACACTCTTTTGGTCTCACACTTATCAATTCCTTCATTCAACTTTTTATAGTCCTACATCACATTATATCTTACACATCAGAATTTCATCCTCGCTCTTTTGTTCTATTCTACGTGCCGGATGAGTAATATGCGTGCTTTAATGAAAACTATAGAAAAAAGTAACGTGGCGTACCTATAATACGCAAAATTTAAAATAAAATCTTTAATCAAATAGTCACTTAAGTAAATAAATAATGACCACATATACAAAGAACTCTGTGTTCACATTGTGCCTTTTTTACACATCCCAGCGAATTTTCGGTATTTAATTCGCTGAATAACAGAAGAAGAAGAAGAAGAAGGCTTAATATACTGGCCTCTATAAATAATGCCTTCAATTTCTTGTTAATCTTAAAAATATATACATGTACGTCTTGCAACTAATCGTCACAATCTATTATATGGACATATAAGCTTCATTTGTCATTACCTTAGTCCATTTAAACTCAACGTTAAAAAAATAACTAAAAATATAAATATATATGTATATACAAAATATAAATATAAAATAATTATCAAAATGGATTTAAATTTGGAAGATTTTCATCAAATATGTCGTGTCTGTCTACAAAAAGGGGACGTAAATTTATATGATTGCAAAGTAAAATTACGTGAAAACAGCGAAGGAGCCACCTCAGAGAAATACTTAAATCTAACGATCGCAGAATTAATGGAAATATTTATTAACAGTAAGGTATGTATGTTAATGTCTATTTGATGCACATATACATTCTACATATGTTTTTTAGACAGATCTTTTGGAACTAGATGCGGAAGTCCCTTCTATGTGTTGGGACTGTTTGGAGGATTTAAAGTTTTGCTATGGTTTTTATAACAAATTAAGGAGTGCGAATAGTAATTTGAAATATTTATATCAAGAGTGTTTAAACAACGTTATACAGTACATAGAAGACGGACAAGAGTTGAAAGAAGAATGGCCTGAAGACGAATTAAGCTCATTAATAATAGAAGATTTGAATGAAGTGGACAGTCAAGATACATTAGAAGATTTAAAATACACGCGTTTATCTTCGGAAACTAATAAATTCATCCCTTCGACTACTACTAAAAGTCTTTTGACTCCACGTGACAATGTCGCATTGATGGTAACAAAATTTTTCCCAACTACTGTTGGAAATAATGCGAAGAGCGATGAGACAGAACCACAGCTTGCCCCTACATTATTAACAGCAGATTATAAGGTTGTAGAGGTAAATGACTTGAGAAACTTACAAACTCTTGAATACGATGGACCTAATAGTAAAACTGATGCAATATATAAATGTCAATATTGTCCACAAGCATTTGCAAACTTAGAGTATTTAAAAACTCATCTACAAACCACACATCTATGTAAATTTTGCACCCAGGCATTCAATCTAAGCGGCGAGCTCTTCAAACATATACGAGAAGTGCATAAAGAATGCAAATGCAAATGTGCGATATGCCACAAAAGGCTTAGTTCTCACTGTAATTTGAGAAGTCATATCAGACGAGTGCATGGAGTAAAGTTACCACCCAAAATGGCTTTGATTGATTTTGTGAGAAAAACCCCCAAGGAGAGTGACGATGATGGTAATAAGGAATTAGAAACATCCGATGGGATTGATCTGGAAACAGATGGACTATCTTTAAAAACTTGCGATTTTGGCTATAATTCAGAATCAATGGAAATAAATTAATGTTAACCTAAATTTTCGTTCTTCATAGTACAATAAATTTTCAAGAATAATCTCCTAGTTCGTACCTCCTAAACTTATAGAAAGGCCCATTTTTTTCAATAAAGCGAAAAACAATATTTATGTGGACATGCGGAGTAGAAGCTAGCTATTACATATCGTTGATTTGGAACGTTAACAATCGTTTTTGACAATGTTTTTGTGTTTCGATTTTGTGATGTCAATGGGATGACATTTCTTAATTTAATTTTTATATTTTATTTTCACGAGTACAACAAATTTTTAAGGAATTTTGTAGAATCTCCTTTCCCTTATCAGAAAACTCGCCGTCTTTCAAATACATCGCTGTAAATTCTCTATATGCTAAACATACACGTCTTTCCAAAATATCTTCTCTTAAGACAGAATGCTCAAATTGGTAGCGTGCTGGGCCATATAAGACTATTAAAGACAAGCTAAGAGAAAATAAATTTTGAAAAATTCTTTCAAATGCAAGTCTATAGCAAAACCGCTTACTTTGGCATGGGAATCCTTAAAACTTTACTTTCAAAAATTTGTATTTTTTCCTTCGGAAATAAAGGCTCTCTTAGAAACTGTTGATAATCAGCCACCACAGCCAGATTATATTTTTGCAATTTACTCAAATTATGCAAATCTTTAGCCTCTTCGTATAATGTTAATGTTAGCACCGCATTTCCCAAGCAGTTAACGGTTACAACTCGTTCGCCCCATATCCAACAATCGTCAATGTGTGGATCTATTGAAGCTCCTTTACTGGGATCATACTCCAAGCTACATTGTTCAATAGTTTGAAAATTATCCAGAATGTTTATTTCCTTAAATCGATGTTGTATGAAAGCAGTAAAATCGGGGAAGCCTTTAAACTGACCATTTCTTAATTTACGTCTTTTGAAATTGGTTTTTGGGCCGAAATTCTGTTTACGTCGGCCGCTTTGGGATAAAGTCCAAGGCAGCAAGTGGTCTATGTTGTCCAACAGCTGTTGACCCTCTTTTATGGTAAGAAAGTTTTCTTTTACGACAACACCAGGCAAATCAATACCCACTTGTTCCTGATGCCACAGATGTTGTTCCCGTACTTTTTCTGGTTCCCAGCCAGGATAAAAACGACCACATTCAACACAATATGCCAAGGATTCAAATTTTTCTAAATTTTCTCTAAGACTGACTTTTTTAATATGGAAATCCTGTTCGCACTTCAAGCAACTACGCATACCTTTACACCCGCATGGACGCACTGTATTCATTTTTTTTTTAACGAAAACTTTTTTATGGATGGTGGATTAAGATGAATCAAGCCAATTCTTATACGACCAGATAATAAGTCGTAATTGTTAACAAGAAATATATATAAAACACAACAAACAAACTGTGTAATTTTAGATTGTTGAGTTGGGGAAAGTGATGGGGAAAAAAGGTGTTGTAAACTTTGGCTGAAAACAAAAAAAGAATGTTGTAGCAATAGGAAATAATTGAATGCAACAAATAAAAACAAATAATAAAAAAATAATTTATAATGCACTAAAAAGATAAGTTCATTCTTTTGATATACACACTAGAGACAACATAACTTTCTGCAAACGTTGGTTGAAAAGTTTTCTTTTGTGTCGTACCGGTGTCTTATCGGCGTTAGTGTAAAAAAAACGCGAATTTAACAAAAAAGTTTGAAAAAGAAAACAAATTTTTGAAAGTTTAAAATGAAAAGAATATACGTATTAAATTTTTTCTTTTTCGCCCGGTTTTTTGGTAAATTTTCTCCCCGATAACAACCAAAACTACATCAGCCTGTCACCCTGTGGAGGCTGGGTGCGATTTAATTACGACAAAGATTATTTTGAACATTTTTTTATGAATGCCACTGAGCATATTAGATCGAGGATGGGTGGGGATGAAGGGAATGATTTAATGGTGCATAGAAAACAAGTAGTTGATAAGCCTTTTGATTCAAGTGCCAAAGCCATTACACGATATCAATTTGTACGATTGTTTATCGCAGTGCAATTTCTTACTTTCCGTTGAAACGTATGAAAATGCTGAAGGCAAGCCTGTGAACATCAACATGGATCTTTTTTTTTAAGATTATTTAAAAAATGTTCACATGAACGGCCCACAAGAACTAAAAGGGGTTAGTAGGAGCAGAGCCAAATTGCTTTTCAGCTCTACTGTAAACGCTATCAACTTAATAAAAGCAACGATTGTATTAAAAAAAATTTAAAAGCGTATAAGAAATTCGTAATAATTCGTAACGTTCCAATTATATATAGCGTAGCCGAAATAATCAAAAATACAGTGTCGAATATTCCGATTAAGTCTGCTGTTAGATTTCAAAGAAGAAATCCAAGGAAGAGTTGATCCCCACAACGACCATTAAAATTGGTTTTAGGGAAAGCCCTCCTCAAAACGATCAAATTCAATTTTTGTAATCTGCCTGTGGAGTACTTCCTACCCACCTTAAAGCAATGCTTTAAGTGCGGTAGATATGGGTATGTGTCAAAATTCAGTAAAGTCAACAAGAACAGGTGTCTGGACAGTGTGTAAACTGTGAAAACACGAAGTGCTTGTCCCGTGGTTCAATGGAGCACAACGCTCTAAGCAAGTGTTGCCCGAACAGTGAGCGGGAATTAAATATCAATAAAATTATGGTAATCAAAAATCTTTCCTATTATTTTCCCCAAACTGCTTTGATTGTCTGGATGATAACTCTTACGATTGAATTTCCCTCCAAAGGCAATGAAAACGCTAATATGCGTTTAACAAAGAAAAAATTCAGTGGGGTCTTTAATAGGAAATCCGTTATTTCCAAAACTTCTTCCAGTACACCTCCCAAGCCTTCTCCCAGGTCATCCCCGAAGCCGTCTGTAACATCACTTCAGCGGCCAATAATTTCGAACAACAATTTGCGTTCCTCGAAACTTGATAGATCAATCGCTGCGTTTAAAAAATATGTCCGTCCGAAGACTCCTCAGAATCTTGAAAAATTTGAAGGAAAAGTTTGTTATTGTGCGAATTCTCGCTACGATCTAGTGCCTTGTACCACGAGTAAATCCGCTGACATCTGCATCTTAAGCGAAGTTTTTCTGAAAGGTGGCAAGTAAGTGAAACGTTTCAATCATACTTTAGATATCAAATACTGAGATGGCGGCTATGGTGGTGTTAGTACACTAGTTAAGAAATGCGTCAACTTCAGACGTATTCCATACAATTCTACTGGTGACATTAACATCATCAAAACCATGCATCTAAAACCGAATCTTTTCAAAGCATTATACTACTTTCCGCCTAGTGTTGATGTACAAACTTATATGACTTTCTTGACGGTGAACAAAATGTAATTCTAGCTGCAATTTCGATGCTAGACATTGTTTGTAAGGCGATGAAGTCTCGACCAATAAAGGGAAGATCCTTGTAAATGGCATCAATGTCAGAAGTTTTAAAGTCTTCAATAATGCCATTACTATCTTTCACTGTAGCCGGAGTGTTCGCTCGGCGAGCAATGTCTAACTCTTTCTAATCTAACTCTTTCTAATTCAACTGTTTTATCATTCAACTGGAACACGACTAACGTCTCCAGAACGTCTCCAAAAGTCAGCACTCTCCCATTTTATTTCACAGTCGCAACAATTCCGTTAAAAAAATAAAAAATTTCATTCATCCGAGACTGGGACGTTGCCTTTTCTGTTTGATGAACTTATGATGGTTTTGCACAGGAAAAAAATCATCTGCTGCAGGTTGTGACGGAATGAAAAATGACATGATCGTAGTTCTCTCTCAGCCAAGTCTGTATGCTTTGTTGAATGCCATAAGTAAATGTTGTATTATTAACATCATCCCAAAGCATTGCCTTCGTATTAAAATTGTTCCGATTCCAAAGGTTGGAAAGAGCCTTGATGTTTTAGCTAATTTCAATCTCTCTGACTTTAGTCCTTATGAAGATCACAAATTCCATGGCTAAGGAAAGGCTCATTAATTTTCTAAGCTAACATAACGTCATACCCGACCATTTTTTTACTTATCAAAAATAAAAATCTCCCAACATGCGTGTAAATAATTTATTTTTCCCTATTTCAAGAGAAAAAAAAGATGGAAGAAAAGTTGTGATGCTCTCTCTTGATTAAAGCCTACGACTGTGTTGATCTCAGTAAAGTAGGTAAGATTCTCATTAATTATCACACATCGGTTCATTTGAGTCTTTGGATTCGAAGCTTCTTTTCTTTTCGAATTCTAGTGTGGCTTCCACAAGCCGTGGTGCTGTTCTGTTCAATGTATACACGGTCAAGCTGCATCAACTTCAGATCGCAACACACACATTTACCAATATGGCGATGATTTTCTGTTAATTTCACCTGGCAAATACTTCAATGAAGCGATTGAAAATCTTGCCACTAAAGCTAATCTCTTTTTAATGCATGTAAGAATCTGAACATCAGTTTTAAACCAACTAAAACAAATACATGGTATTTTGCTAAAGATCCCAGGAAGTTCATTCACATCTTTATCAAAGGTATACCTGATAGGCAAAAGATTTCCATTAAGTTTCTCGGTAGGATCATTAATGATAGTTTAGCAGTCTAAGAACTCTTTTCCGAAGCGCTTAGCGGCTTGATAACTTGCCTTCGATCGGAGTTTCCCAAAGAAATGCACCCACAATTTATTAATCATTTATCCGCTAAAAAATAGAATTTTTACAATCGACCACTTAACCTTAAGTAATCTAACTATGTTTCCAAAGGGATGCAGTCGCTTCAAAACAATCTGTTAAGACGATGTACGGAATTTCCTCGCTCCATCCTTAGAGCAGTTTTCGATAAACTTCCAGTCACGGAGAGGGCCTTGTTCCTGACTGCTAAAGAACTTCTGAAAGTTAAAATCTTTTTTTCAGATGATTCAAACTGACTTTTCTGATTGATAAAGACGGACTTTTCTATAAAAATCATCCTGTCACGACCTTTAAATCTTTTTCTGATACCAACTTCACTACATCGCATATCAAGGACCTCAGTGGACTCACATGTAATCACAGATTTTACAAAGTTTATCTAAAGATGGTAGGACGTGTGTCACACAAAAGTCAGCTGAGCACGTTATATTTTATTGCAGTAAAGTCGATAAGACTTTCACCTTTGGAATGTTTATTATTATTATTATCATTATAAATTTAACCAGAGAATGAATTCCAAAACTAAAGTCATTGAGTTGTTAGTCGAGACTCTTGCGTATTCGGCCACTCAGGCGGATTTAGAATATTTAATATATACAACAATCTCGTGTTCGCAATACACCTCATCATAAGCAACTAACTGACTTCATTAAATGCTATAAAGCTGTAACTTGAGATCAATCTTCGAGTGTAAGCTTCAGAATGGACGGTGCTGTTTTGACTATTAGAACTTGCACATCGACCAATCGAGAGAGATAATCATCACTTCCTCACAATGAAATTATTTTTGGTCGTCATCTTTGAAGTTGAATCCCCTCGAAAGAGATAAGCATCTCTGCTTCATCGTTTAATCACTTTCATTGATCACTTGATCGACATCTTTTTTTGATATTGTTGTCATGCTTCTGTTTGGAGATCCTAAAACCTTAAGAAGATTGTGTGATAAAAACGTTATCGGACATCCATTGACCACTGACATACGAAAAAATATTAAAAGACATACTTCTAAGAATACAGAAAATCAACAGTAGAGGAGAGAGCTGTATTAAATAGAAACCGGTCAGTGTGAACACGAAATGATTTCTCTGTAGTTTAATAAACCGATAGAAAGAGAAAATATGAAATATGAAAGTCAATATAAACGTAAACGGCCACTTAAATCTGCAGTAATGTCACAATCAATATAACATTCGATTGATATTCCTATTTGTGTATGAATTGTTGGCTTCTTATGTGTTGGCTATGCGATAAATTTTCTTTATAATCAAAATTCAATTATTAAAATATGAATTTCTGAATAGTGCGTATGGCGATCTGATTACCAATCGGTATGTCACTTTTCTGTAATTCTAGACATTTGTGGTGTAAATATTTAAAGGTTATATTTATTAAAAAAAATATAGGAAAAAATTAAAGATATTTTTGTAATGATTCTCCCAGGATTTGCTCCAATTCCCGCACCGCTGCTCGTGTATTTTCCTCTACTCGCGGGTTTTCATCTTCAAAGAGTTCAGCAATGAAAGGCATTGTCTCGGCCAATAAAGGAGTGAAATCATCGCCTAACCTCCGAGCTAATGCCACGCAACAATTGAAAGCAAAAATTCTCACCTCAGGGGCGCTAGTCTGCGTTTTAAGTAAAATCTGATAATTCAATTGCTTCCACATAACATCACTAGACACGTTCACTGCCAATTGAGCTATACAAAGCATAAGTAGTTGTTGCAATAATTCATCATTTAAAACCAGTTGGTTTTCTATTTGATCTACGATGGCAGGCATAAGAACTCCAAATTTTTTGCATATTGATAAATTCTTTGCTATCATGCAAAAATATTTGATAACAGGTGTTTAATAGAGCCATCAATAGCTCTACGAGTAAAGGCTCCTTCACGTATTTTGACTTTTTTTGATTAGATTTACATTCAATTAGCAGGCGGACAACATCTTCGATGAAATCGCCAGCAAAAAGCACAAATAAAGACTTTAAAGCTTCAGCAATTTTGTGGGTCAATCGAAAAAAAGTTAAGCTCGCTTTTATATCGCTCTTTTCCTCTAAAACGCGCTTATATAGTTTATGATATAGAGGTCGAAACGCACTTTCGGATAATTTTAGGGTCCACCTTACAAAGGTGTCGATAATATTGCCTTCTATGCATTGTACTTGATCATGACGGCAGCTTTCGTCTTCTACTCTTACACGGAATTTTAAAAATTCCTGAAACATTTCTGACAAATACTTTTGGACAGGCGCTAACGTTTGGTTATCGTTGTAAGCTATAGATTGCTTTATCAATTTCAGCAAGACATTCAGTTCATCGTAACTTTTGCTCTGCACTAAATGCTTATACGTCTTTTCCCAGCTGGGAACAAGAATGCGTACTGGCACATCGGTGGCTATTTTCGACCAGATAGCGTTAATTTTTTGCAATGTGTTCGTCGAGCGTTGATCTTTTTCATTTTTTTGGACGGTCAGATGAGCCTCAATCACGCACAGAGATACCAATACGTCCACAATGTAAGGCCCCAGGAATAGAGGAAGTGCCTCAAATAATTTTTGTATACCTAAAACATAGTTAAAGATGAAAAAGATTTGCTTTATTTTAAAGAGAATAATTTGAATTCAATTCCTTTTTACGGATGCTTTGTTCAAACTATAAAAATGCATTTACTTCGAGAACCTATTTAAATAATAATCTCGAGCGATAAAAAATTTTGAAAAGTTAAAGTATTCAACGCCTAATGAAGTTGTAATTATTTTTGCAAGTCTACGCGTATGTGGTCTTCCGAGTTTTGAAAATAAGACATTTTAAGCAATTTGTCTAACGAAACGATTCGCAAACTAATTACTCTTATGAAGAATTCTCATAATAATGTTCCTCATGAATTAGAAAATTTTTGCAATTATTGATATAGAGAGAGGAGGAGAGGAGAAATTTTAAATACTTGTTAGTTGTCAAACAAATGAAATTGTTTAGTTCAAATTATCAGACAAAACTGAGACGCATGAAGACCAAGAATCGTCCATTTATTTTATATTCACTGCAGCATCCCATATATGTTATTTGGTTTTTATTGAAGAACAAGTTATTACTCACCTGTAACAATCGCTAAGCAAACATTATCAGGTGATTGGCTTTTGACCAATTCAGATTGATCTTGCAAGATTTTCATCACTGGCGGCATAAATTTTGGCATGTGGGCCAGAGCGTGCGCTTTTAAGTTAAAAGAAATTTCAATTAAAGTCAAAACGGTAGTCGCCAAAATTATTTTTGATAAATGCGGACGATGTTTAATGACTTTAGTTAAGTCGGAGAGAACAGCTTTAAAGTCTTCCACATGCTTCAAGGCAAATTGTTTTGACAGTAATTTAATTGCTATTAAAGCAGTTTGTTGTAAGAATATTAAATCAGTGAATTTAACCTCTTCCTTACTTAACATTCCTTTAATAATCATAACTAATGGTTTTAGAAGATATTGAAAATGTTGGCCATCACAGTTAGCAAAAAATTCATCTTTTTGTTGCAACTTCGTGATTAATATTTCTATGATTTTTTTGCGTACGCTCAACAATTTATATTGCATTAAACCATTAAAAACCACTAGAAACATATCGGATGAGAGCAAAGAAACAGTGTTATCCAGAACATCGTGCAGATGGTGTAATATAACTTTCCAGAACTTTTGTTGCGCTAACTCCTCAGATTTTTCTAAGGAAGTATGCACGAGTGGTATGTAAGAAAGAATTTTAATAATAAAATTTTGATAGAGAGTTTTCATAGAGTTGGTACCGTCCGAAGGAAGTAAGGCTATCTTACGCAAAAATTCCTCAGAATTGGTCACAGAGGATAGGAATTGCATGATTACGTATTTATAATGGCGAAATTGTTTAGCTGAGTGAGTGCATACGTCAAAAAGGGAACGTTCTGTGTTATCAGCTAATGATAGTTTCCTTTTGGATGAGTCTCCTTCGGCGTCTTTTGGTAATTTTGTAAGATAATCCATTAAATTTATACAAGTCGCTAGGATGACAGACGGCGAGAAAGTTTGACATAGATCTGAAACAATTTCTAAACGTTTAGGCATGAGCTTCGAATGGAGATTTGAAGAATTTGAATGCTTTTTATGTATTAAACGTTGTTTTTCCTCGTCTATGACGTAAGCCTCAAACACTACGCAAAGAAACATCCACAAATACTCCTCGGAACCTAAAGTTAAAAGAAGTTTAGTGTACAGCGGTAATCTGCGGTGTTCTGGAACGTCGAGCATTATATCAGAAAATATCTTCAATACAGGAATTACGGCTACTTTCTCTTTAACTAAAATCGGTATTACAGAGACAATGATTACGTTGATTATATGGAAACTAAAGGCATCATCGTGCCGTACTACTGAGGAGCCCATAAATGTGAATACATCTACAATATTATGGAGAACCTGCTGAGGAAATAGCTCTGCGCAACTTGAAAGTAGCAACAACGCATTCTGATGTGTTTGAGGGTTTTGAGACATCCTAAGACATTGAACTACGTGATCCACGCGAAAGATGGACTTCTCGAATGTTTTCTTTAAGTCGTAATTATTTTCTTGAGCTTTACTGCAAGCGTTCAGCAAAGCGGAAAGAATTAGTTGTTTTGCGTACTCCACTGACGTTTGCTCTTCGAGAAGAAGGCAAGCATTCAGTAACTCAAATAAAAGCGGTATTAATAATTCACTGTTTACTAACTTCTTTATGCTCTCGAGCAATTCCAAGAGAACAATTCCTTTCTTCCAATAAATGGAATTGAATTGTATTTGTTTTAGATTGGAAATTGTGCATTTTCTTTTATTGGTTTCTGCATTCTCCGAACATTTGTACATATTTTCCAACGTAGCCAATAACAAACGACAATCCAACGTACATTTTTTCAACAGTTTGTTTACCGCCAGGAAGAGTAAATCATTTTCAGCTTCCGCAGTAGTACTGACTAATAATTCTATAAATTGTTTTTTAAATCTTGTGGGATATTTCTCGTAAAATATTTCATTCAAACCCTCCACAAACACGCACGCAACTGGCTTCAAAGAGTCGTTAGATTTTAGATATACGTTATGACATGTAAAAATTGTCTCAATTAATAGCCAGGCTGGTTCGTGCCCAGTTAATATATTTTCTGCAGTGTGCGGGCCAAAGCGTTGGATTACCAAACCGTAGAAAGTATCGTAGGGACTTTTTAAAATTTCAACGGAACCTTTCATGCTAGTCTCTTCTAGGACTTTTGCCGCCAAAGGTATAAATTGTTTGAAAATCTCTTCATCTTCAATATATTTAAGAGTTTTCAAAATTAGCGTAGAAAATTCTAAGTTGTTTAATTCTTTGTGATTTTCAGCACTTTTCAAAATTTCGTTGAGAATTCGGTTGCTATTTACAGAACTTTTGCGATTGCCAATATCACTTTTTAGCAGCGAATACATAACTAAAGGGAATTGTTCGTAATCCATCAAGATTTCTTCTCTACGCATTAGAAGAGATTTAATAAAATGCTTCATATTATCGTCCAATGAAAAAGTGCTGTGCTGGATCTCTTCCAGCGTATTTAAAGTTTCCCACCGTATAATTTCCTGTTGCGAGTTTAAGGCCATAGCAATTTTTATAATATAATCGTTGCCTATAATTAATTTAAACTTCTCCGAGTTTTTTATTATATTTTGCGTAATTTTAAGCGACCTCACACGCAAGTCCATATAATGATTGGCTTTCTCTTGTCTCTCATATAAATAAAAATTAATTAGAAATTCCAGTTTAATTTGCGGATGTTTAAATACTCCATCAAATAGTTCTTTTAACATTCTCAACCATTGCTTTTGTTCGGTTAGTTGTAAACCTGTCTGAAACGCCTCTTTAGAGATGTCTGCGAAGACTTTAAAAAAATATTTTAATTCTATGAATTCTTCAGTTTCCCAACTTTGCTTTGTTAAATTTGAAAAGTCTGTGTGCTCCATTAAAGCCAACAAGAAATCACTATACAATTGCAAAGGTATGTAGCGCGATTTGTTATCTCCATTCCATTCTGCGCTTGTTAAGTGTCTCATTTTAAACCGCTGCGTATATTGAGAAATCTGCTCATAGATTTTTGAACTTTCTTCTGCTGTGTATTTCTGTTTTAAGCAGGCAGTAACCAATATAAGCAGATGGTAAAGCTGCATTGCGTTTCGAAACTGCATCCGCGTCTCTTGTTGTTTTTCAACGCCTTCCAACAAATCGAAAAGGTTTATATTATTCGGAGATGCGATGATAACATCTAAAAACTGTCTCCTAAAGCTTTTGGCATCAAAAAACTCTATTTCTGATATATTAAACTTTTGCAGCCAATTGATATTTTGAGCTAAATCACTAGTAACAATTTGTTGTAAAGCTTTCTTATCATAACTCCGATCATCCGTTGGCAAAAATATCGGCATTAATGAGAATAAAATCAAATTGTTGTTGTACTGCTTCACCAAGACTCCATGAGTTAAATGCTGGACCACAATCGTGGAGAGAGCTTGCCAATTTTCTGGATCTACTTGAATTTTATATAAAATATTCACTAAAGCATCAACTAATTGAAAACAATCAATTATCTGCAAAAGCTCAGACGTACTCAAAGTTAGAAGAGTCTTTACTATATCTGCATTGTCATCACGCATGCGATCCAACAAGCATTCTTTTAAGATCTCGCAATTTTTTGAATTCATCCGATAATGTTTCAGATTTTTCAACAATGTCTTAACGGCCACTAAACGTATAGTAGCATTGTAGTGATATAAACTCTCGTATATGTCGCAAGCCGATTTGTCAAAGTTCTGTAAACGGTAGCCTATGTACAATATATATACAATATAATAATAATAATATATTATAAAATGTTTTCCTTCTAATATTCCAAAATTTTACCCAGAGCCATTTTTATAGCATCCCTCCGTTTATTCGTTTCCTCTGATCCGAGATTAGACAAAGACTCTTTGATACATTTGTCAAACGCTGAGGGATACTGACTTTCCCACTTTTGTAAGCGCTCTGAATACCACGACTTAAAATATACACTATGATCATTATCATCTTCCTCGGAGTCCAGCTCAATTACCCCACTATCTTGCAAACTTCGTGTTGTGTGAGTGTTGTTTGATGAAACATAGGAATCCAGAAAATAACTAAAACAGAAAAATTAGCAAAAAAGGTAAAATGAAATCACAATGGAATCCATGTATTTCAACTCACCTTATCATTTGCTCGGCAAAAGAATCGGAGAATTTTATGCCATTTAGAAAACGTTCTAGGAACTCCTTAAAATTTTCTTTTTGCGCATCATCATTGCGCAAAGCTTTTACACATTGAACCATTAAGATTCTGCTTATACAGTGAATGTCCATATTTTCATTAGCTAATGCCGCCAATACATTAGTGAACCAATTCTCCTGAATTAATTTTAAAAGAGTTTCATCAGGAAAAGATGGATTTGACGCTCGTTGTGTATCAAAAATCCATACAAGAAGCATAACAGCAGTTCGCTGTAAACGTTCAAAAGTTACTGCCGCTAACTTTGTTATAAGAAATTTACATAATTTGGATGTAATTTCTGTACGAGCAACTAAACGGGCCGTTATTATGTAAGCGGCTGAGACGAAATCGACCGATTTCGAAGTTAATCCTTTTATCAATGAAGGCAGAAGGGTTATAATATGCCATTCTTCTACTTTTTGGCAATTTTCCAAAGCGCCCACCACTACCGTACCATAGAAATTTAATTGGGCCTGTAGTAGGTGGGCGTTATGGCCTAATTCTTTAACGGCATCTATCGTTGAACTGCAAACAAATTTTAGAAAACCTTTCTCCGTCGCGGCACGATTTAAAATGGCTGTCTTTGATAAAGGCAAACCGGCACGTTGCGATGGTTTTAACCAATACCATACTTGATCCGATTCTCTCAAGCGAAGCGTTTGCAGAACTTTAACAAAAGCATTAGTTTCATGATAGGGTAAAATCAAAGCCATTAAATCGTTCCGATTGTATTCATGCACTTGGAAACGTCTTATCAACCATTCTAAGCACATATGAGCCGGTCGTAGCGGAAAGTATGGTGATAAATAGCAAAAAAATTTTCGTATATTGCAATCCAGCAGTTCATTAACATCTTTACGCTCTACAGCTCTTTCTATTTGCAATGTGGCCTCATTGAACAATGTCATCTTAAATTGTTGAAAACTGGGATTCAATATATTTAATTCCTCTAAGCCGCTGACGCCCAAATCATATATAGTGCGTCTGCCCTTAGTGGCTGCCTCCTTCGAATCGAAGAGTATGGAAGCATGACGTCTTTTTTCCAACAAAGCATCAGCTTCCGGCACTTTTAGACGTTGTAGTTGCTCAAATAGTGAGGTAGACATACTAATAAGTTTTTTCTTTTTTTAAAAGTTCAGCTTTAATGAAAAATGGGGTTTATATCGATTAATATTTTTCTTTTTTCTGGATATGAAATAGTTAAAACTAAATAATATTCACTCTATTGTTTTTTGTTTTGCACTAGAAGTAAAACGTGTTGTTATGAAATGTTGCCAAACTTAAATAAACGAAAAAGAGTTGATTTATTGGCTACAAGCGGGTTCGATATTTAGTCTTCTGGTTTCAATTTGTTAACCTCACGTCCTATATTTCGATATCCAATGCGTTTATATATTACAAATTGAATGATGAAATGTTATGCCCTTCATTTGCTTACTGTAAGAATGAAGCACTTACTTTAGTGCGATATAATTCATGAAAAGTGATAAAAAAAATCACTTTTTTTTTTTTTTTGGTATGTTGAAAAAATCACTTCAAAAGTAATTGAAACTAAATGAAAATAGTCATTCCACCACAACTTCGTTTACTTTCAAAAACTCAACAAAACAGAATGTCAGCGTTAGCAGTCACGGCCGCAGTTTTTTGTTGTGTTTTGCAAGCATTTCTTGATAATAATTACTATTGTTTAATATACGCACATGTTAGCCACAAATTTATTATCGTCATCGCTTTCAGCAAAATATTTATCTTCTTTATCTTGATTAATTTGCTGCAAGTCATCAAATTGTTTTCAAATTTATTATTTTTCTTAAACTGTTTTTTTTCTTTCAATGCCGATGGCTTTTGTTAATTTGGTCCGTTAGATAATGTTATTTGACAGAGTTGGTCCGTTAGATAATGTTAATCCTAATGTTGGTCCGTTATTTTACAGAGTTGGACCCTTCTGGTCTGTTAAGTTGCGCGTTTAACGTAGCTGATTGGCGTTAACATTTAAGTTGTTAGTTGGGCACTCAACCATTTATATATATTATAAGCGACTCTGTGCTTTGCCTTTCAACAGGGAATTTAGCGAGGGCGTTGTTTAAAAATTATGACGGTTTAATTCTAAACTAACTTGTAAAATACAAGAAATTTTAAATGTTCGATATTAACCTTTGACACATTTAATTAGGTAAAAATCTTCACACTTTCAAGCATGTATGACATTGAGAATCTATGACTAAGAAAATAGGATTACGATCATTTAAAGTCTCTGAAGGGCTAGTCAACAAGCATTGTACTAATATATGTGTACTAGTTATACATTTTAACTCACCTCTCTCCATAGGTATTATGCATGAGTTGAAAGTCGAGATTTGCCATTCAGGCGGATAACTTGTAAAATTAAATAAGTTTAATTGGCGTATTTTCCAAAACACTATATATACATCTGGAGGAGATGATAGAAGAGCAAAAGCGACCAAATCAAGGAAGAAGAATCGGAAACAATCAGGAAACCATTAAAACCATTAAAAACATTACCAATTTCTTTTATATATATATATATATATATATATATATATATTAATAAAGCTATTTTAAGTATATAATAAAGCTATTATATAAATAAAGCTATTTATATTTAAATATAAATTACATAAATTAATACATAACAGACAACAAAAAATAAAATTAAAGCAAAAAATAAAATTAAGGCGCAAAACATAACATTTTTAATTTTCATTTAACAAACTGAACAATAAAAAAACAAAACAACAACAAAACAAAAAAAATTGAAACTAAATTAATTCAATAATTAAAAGTAATTCAATTATCTTATCTTAATGTTATTAATTAAAAAATGAAAAATGAATATTAAGGCCAAAAGTAATTAATTATCTTGAGTATTAACTGTTCCTTCGGCTAGTGGGTCAGACAACGTTGCCGGTAAATGACCGAGGTAGGCATCATTATCGATGCAGTAATTTATGATCATGCGCCAATGAGGATCCAAAAAGAGTGTGTCGGGGTTTCCGTATATCATAAGCAGACAACGAGGCCGAGAAATTGCGAGTCTGGTTGATCTTTCGTTTCGTATGAATCCTAATCCATGGTGCATATCGTCACATATATGCTCCTTGCTTGATCTCACTCCTGAGATTAATATTATATCGCGTTTCTAAAAAAGACCAAGCTAAATCAACATTGGTATTAATTGCAACATTAGTGTAATTTTAAGAAAGTTATACCTGTCCTTGGAATTCCTCCACAATGCCAATTTTAGGCATTGCTACGTCGGCATCAACAAAAAGATTTCGCAAATGTTTAACCTGTTTCATGGACGGACTTATGATGCCAATAGATTCAGCTTTTTAATGTTATGACGATACAATTTGGCTGTCATTAGAAAGACCTTGAAAAAAAAAAAAATTTTATAAAATACTAGATAGAAGCGATTGTACTTTTAAACTAAAGGGAACTTACTTCCTTCGCTTCGTAAGGATTATACCACGATGGCGAGTCGTTTTTCTGCAGATTTGCAGAACGTATTCCGCGGAAGAATACGCCATGTGTTTTGGGCCGATTTAGTGATTGCGGCAGTAAATCGTCAAGTTGCTTCAGCATTGCAGCTTCCCAAGAATTTTCTTCTCTTATCATTGGTTTCGCATTGTAGAACAGTCCATTATAAACATTCACTATAGAGGGCAACGCCCGGTAATTGTAGAGTAAATTTGTAACCAGGCGAGGGTCAAAACCACACGTAAGGGGAAAACTATCAACGTTAATTAGAGTCGAGATGATAAATCCTTCCTTTTTTCAGGAAATTATATCTCTCAGTGATACTGTCACTTGCAGCTATACTTTTTGCTAACAAAAAATTCGTCATATTTTTGATAAGTTAGATTCAATTCTTCCCTTGAATTTCATTACCAGCAAATGCAGTCTTCATGAACATTCTCGAATCGATCTCTACCTCAAAACAAAATGTCAACTTCTCTTGTATAAGGTTGTTATGCCAAGAAAAGCTCCTTTTTTATTACAACAACGGATACGATATACGATATATATGCCACCGACGGTTCCGTCGGACATAATGTATCCGGCTTCTCGGTCGTGAAACATCTATCTAAAACAGTATATCGAGTCAAAGTGGCGGAGGAACTTTGCTCAACTTTTATTGAGTTGCTCGCCATTCGCCATGCTATTAAGTTTGCTATCTCCGATGGTATCAGAGGCTTTGTTATTTTTTCTGACAGCAGGTCAGCTCTACTTCTAATAAATAAAAGAGATGCAGAGAATCAATATATGGCCACTGCGGCTTTTTTTTAAATGTAAAAGCCGACTTTCATGTAGGGAGAGCTCGTGTTGATGGAACAATTTTGTCCATCAAATACACTACCAATTCGCAACCACATCCTTCAACAGCTAAACGACGAATTTAAACAGATCGCGCGCGTTAAATCCAAACGTCTTTTCTATAAATTAAATCCCACATTTCAATTCAAAATCTTTTCTGTATCTTCTTTTAATTCCTGGGAAATCAAAATTCTTTATAGACTCATGAGTGGTCACACTTATGACAAAATTTTTTTAAAAATGATTCGTATTATACCATGTGATGTTTGTGAAGTTTGCAACGTTGTTGAGTCTGCTGGGCATCTAATCTTCAGACGTCACAGGCTTGATGGCATTAGAGATTCCTTTAGCTTCTTCAAGTTATATGGCTATCTCCTCGTACTCTTTGTAGCAAAAAATTTACGTCATCTCGGGGAAGTAACTTGCTTTATTAGAAAAGCTAATTTATCCTTTTAGAATTTTTTTTTTTTCCTATTCTTTCCTTTTTTTTTTGCGTTCAATCATCTTCTATTACCATAGCATTCGTTTTCAGCCAAAGTTTGCAACACTGTTTGACTTTCAAGAACTCAACAAGCACAATTACAAACACACACACAATTGCACCTAGCATGCTGGCTCCAGTTATTATGGCCGCCCTTTTTTTTGTTACGTTTTGTACACAATTGTGACCAAAAATTACCACAGTTTATTATCTAGAGATATAAGCCACAAAACTTAGTCCATCTCCATTCAACGTACCAAAAAAAAAAAAAATAGTTTATTTAATAAGAGGAAACTATTTTCCAATATCGGTACACAGCTATCATTGCGTTCATCCATTAATTGACAGGCCTTAGTTAATTCGTTATTTTGCAAAAAGTGTAAAAATTCTGGAGATTGCTTTAGAGTCTCATTATTAACAATATAATTCAGAAATGCTTCAAAGGAAGCTCCACGTTCAGCTATAAGGATAGCAGAAAAGTTACCCATTAAAACTTTATTTGGAAAATCTACCCTAGACATGAGAACATGATGATCACGCCTAAGTTTAATATACAATTCACGGAAATCTGTGTAACGTCTTTTTATAACAGCCGGTCCAGAATCCGCTGCGAATTTTGAACCCAAACGTACCGTTAAATCATAAACGACATAACGTTTCACTTTTAAATCTTCACCATTTGGTGGTATCATTCATGACTCTCATTCGGGCGTGCGGCAATCACGCAACGATCGATGCTTTTAAGAGTGCACACAAGCTTCTCTGGTACTAGGCGTGCAGATTAACTGATGTTTGCCTTTTTGGATTCAAATTTGGAACAGGTGCCAGGTTGTTACAGAGCCCCTTAGGTTACACCATATCTCACGGGGATGGCTTCGGTGATGTAGTTTTTTAATATTTTTTAAAAAATTATTGCCTTTTGATACTTAAATGCACGTTTATTGCTCCGTTGCCTCTCCTTCAAAATGTGCAGTGGCATTAACGTGAAAGCCATTGTTTTTTACTTTGAATGTAAGTTTGGCAGGGATCGACGCGTGTCGCAGAGTCCTTAAATTTAATATTTCTTGCAAGAACGGCCCTCATATTCTATTTTTTTTAGATTTTTCGAAAAAGTTTTTTTTTTTTGTTAGTACTTGGTCGAGCTTAACTCATCCCAAAAACAATAAAAAAAAGAAAGTAAAAGTACTTCTGAATTTCATAGAGCTAATGTTTACTGCTAGCATTTTTCGCCCACTTATTAACTAAGTTATAAAAATTCGTACATAAGAATAATTTGACGTAAAGATTAGCTTTACCAACATATCAGTTTGGGGAAAATGAAATCCATTATTTTTATATGAACTTCAGGACTTTATTTAACATGCTTCGGATTGTCCGATTTGGGTCAAATACGCACCGTTTTGTTGTATGATTTGTTGCCATTTTAAAGGTAACTTCAAAATGCCTCTCTCATAGAAGTCCTGATCTCTATTTGCAAAAAACTCTAGTAGTCGATTTTCACAATCCTCCCTAAATTCCAATTTTTTAACATTAAAGAAATTTTGCAATGCAAGAAAAAGCCGTTTGAGGTGCTTCACCGCTCTTTGACCACGATCGTTTTCGCACAGGGTTATCGTATGTGACCCATTTCTCATCTCCAGTCACCATCCGTTTAAGAAATGGGTCTATCTCATTCTGTTTGGCCAAGGCTTCGCAGATGGAAATTCGATCCATCATGTTTTTTTCTGTTAATTGGTGTGGCACCCAAACATCGAGCTTATTTTTGAATCCAGCTTTGTGTAAATGGTTTAAAACTGCTTTATGGTTGTTTTTTAGCTCCTGGGCGATGTTACGACTGCTAACATGCCGGTCAACTTCGATCATTTCTCCGATTTTATCGACATTTTCGACGACCGGCCTACCTGTGCGAGGTGCATCTTTAACATCAAAAATTCCTGAACGGAATCTACGAAACCAAAATTGCACATAATTGGCTGTTACAGTATCGGAACCGTAAACACCATTTACAATTTTAGCCGCCTGGCTTGAACTGAATGCATTAAACAAAAAACAGCAAAAGAATTTTTTTTACTGCGAAATGTCACCTTTCCAACGAGCATAAATCTGAAATTGTTTGATCGATACTTTACGAGAAATCTATCAATGCAGCCATCTACCGAAAAAATAATGGATTTCTTTTTCCCCAAACTAATATATGCTTATTCTCCCATGTTTGGGATTTCTATACAAATTACTGAGAACATATATGCTTATTCTTTAAAGGCAGCAAATTTTATACAAATACATGTTCAATTATTAAAAAATGTAAACAAACGTATTCAAACATATTCTTAGATGTTGGCATTTTTATACAAATTATTGGGAATATATATGCTTATTCTTTAAAGGCACGAAATTAAAGGAGAGAAGTAAGATGGGGATTTGTACCATTATGCAGCCTTCGAAGTCCTCTTATTCCTATTGATCTTACTTCGTTTTTTTTTAAATAAAAGTAATAAATAATCAAATTAAGTTTTCACGTTAAAATAGCTGGATTCAAACGGTCAAAACTATTTTTGGATGAAAATTATTCATCATTTTACCTAGCAGCAAGATTCCGTCTAGCATCTAAAAAACTAGCCACAATAGTTCACTGTTTTTTCAATAAGAAAATTAGTCTTGTATAACAGTATTTTAGGCCTTCCTCTTTTAATTTTGCACAGAATTACACTGAAATAAATAACGTATGAATAACGAACATCATTAATTATTATTTATTTAAATATTTGTTCAATGTTCGATATTCACTGAAGGGAATTTGAATTCAAAAATTTGATTAATTTTCCGGCACTTTTATTTACTTTTGAAACATATTACGCATACACATTTAAAATAATTACGTAAAAAAGTATTTAATGTTAAAAATGTTCCAAGCCATATTTCTTCAAGATAATACGATAAAAAATAAATGTAATAAGAGTTTAAAGTAAAGTAATCAAATTAAAGCTTAGATGTTTGATATTTTAGAAGTTAAACAACTACGGCTCCTGCTTCCGAACGACTCACCGGCAAATCGGGACAACTCTTCCAGTTATCCGTTAAAGGATCATAACATTCTACAGCGCTTATGGTAACCTGAGCTCGATAGAAAGTTGCTTCACACGGCTGGGTCATAAAAACAAGGTTCTTCTTGAAATCTGATTCGCTAACATGCTTAAAGTATTTAGTACCTGTTCTCCGCCAGCAACATATAATAACCCATCAGCAGCTGCCACGGCCGGTATAGCACGTGGAATCGACATAGGGTAGACGCTAGACCATTTATTTTCATCGAAGCTGTACCGTTCGACTGAACTTAATACTCCTTGTGAGCTACTGTTACCACCCACAACGTAAAGATAACGGTCCAATATGGCGACACCCATTTGGCAGCGGGGAACTTGCATTCGAGCTAAACATTCCCATTCCTGCGTAACAGGATTATAGCTAAACAAGTAAGTAAATGATTAGAAAGCTTAAAATTTTATTTTGCTTTTAAGCACCTCACTAAATTCGGCAAATAGCGCGTAGATGTAGTACAACCACCCACAATATAGATAAGGCCCTCAAAGCTTACTACCCCCATACTAAAACGCGGTTCAGGCAAGTTGCCTATAATTTGCCACACATTTTCCTCGGAGTGGTAGCATTCAATCGAATCCCCTATATCGTCACCAATCCATCCACCCACAGCTAATAGACTATTGCCTAAAGCGCACAATCCAAACTCACACCGTGGCACTACCATTGGAGCTATTGGTAACCAGCAATCATTTTGCGGATCATAAACTTCGCCATTGGCCAGAATTTGGGCACCTCTCTCTCCACCCACAACATAGATTTTACCATTTAATGCCGCGACACCCGGTAAAATTCGACCAATCTCCATTGGTGCCGTTTCATTCCATTCACGACGGAATATATCAAACTTAGCCACCGTATCGAATATGTCGTCCTCTGGATTCCATGTGGTTGAAGTTTCCCGTCGCGATCCACCAATTATGTAGATATTTTTTTTGGCTAATTCGCGTGGACATACGCGTAACGGAACCAATTGACCGCGCTTTGATGCTATATCACGGCAAATGGACCGCAAGGCTACTTTTACTGACATATCGCGACAATCCCTTAAAGCCTGATCGATAACTTTGACTGGTACCAACGCTAAGCGCACCAATGAGAGAATTTCAAAAACATAACATCGTCGTTGGGTAACATCGTGTTTAATCCAACGTAAAGCAGCTTGAAATACTTGTGATTCGGAATCAACTCGCAAAAGTTCTGATGTTAACAGTTGAGAAAGTAAAGTTTGTGGAGTATCCAAGAATTCGTCTTCTTCGGTAATCTACGGATCGTGAAATAATAAACTCATACAATAATTATTTTCAATTAATATTTGACTAACCGCCGGAAAGTTAGCATGCACAAAATTTAGTGCGCTTTTAGTTAATGCTTCACAATGGTGTGCCTCTGAAAAGCGTAAAATACCTAAAGCATTGCTGGCATGTAATTCACGACATAAAAATTCGCAACAGCCGTCAACTACTTCATGCAACTGTAACATATCCGCAGCGGCCAAGAGTTCCTGAACATTGGTCTGATCGAAAAAAAAAGTAAATGCAAAGTTTCCTTTTTTTCTTTCAATTTCAAGTCCACCTGTGTGATTTCACATCTCCCCGTGTAAATAAAGTCCAGCAGAATGTTTAAAATCTCACCGTCTATCGTGTGTAAAATTACGGTCTTTTGATTTACTTCGTTCAAACCTAATTCGGGCCTGAACATGGCTTCAAAATAAGCACTGGCAGCACTTAAGACGACGCGATGAGCTGCATAAGTAGTACCACCCGCTACTATGTCTACATCACAAAAGCGAGTTTCACCACGCAACTGATTTAAATTTTCCAACATTTTAAAGGGATATTGTCCACTGCAATAGGGCGACGGCTTGCAACGTTGCGCTGAAATTATATTTGAAGAAGGACCTACATCACTAGCGGCAGAGGTATCTGAGCAAGTAGCACCAGCGTCCGTCGGTGAATCCTTGCCATTACGACAGCCATCATTAAATTCATTTTGATACGATTTCAAAGGCGGCATTTTATTCTCGTTGTAGCAATTGGTAAAGACAAATCAATTACTTTTGAATATAGGAATCACTATTTTGCCACAAACTTGTATGTGTTTGTTATAGCTTTGTAAAACTCAATACAATTCTTCTTCTGGTTAATTTTAATTAATCTTAATTGCTCTGCAATTTTTGTCTTAACCTTTCCTTTGCTAGCGTCTTTCCCTTTTCTCTTTAAACGACACCCATCACTTGAAATTACTTTTATACATCTATTTAACAATTTCATTTGGTAAATTTGGACTCAGGCGATTACATATTTTCTCAGTCAAACGCCTTTTTCTTATTAGAAAATTTTGTATACAAAAAAAATATCAGCTGATACCGAAAACATGAAATGTGAAACTAAATTGAAGAATGTCGTTTTGACAGACGAACAAAAATAGTTCCTTTCAAGGAGAAAATAAAGTTTTACCTATAAATAAATTAAAATCCCAAAACAACGAATTTTTTTACGGATTTTAAGCAGTGTTGTTAAAATCGTGTCTTTTTTTTCAATTTTAATTTAAGAATAATTTTCATGAAGACTTGTTCTTGCACAAAAAACTGAATGAAGTTACAAATTTTTATTATTCGGTTTTGCGATATAACGTTTTATAAACGTCGCTTGCCAACCCTTTTTCTTCAATGCATGTGACAGTTTGCATTTGTTGGTACTATTTTTCTGTTGCTGCAAATCTTCAAGTTAATTTATGAAATATTGGAAGTATTTTAGAAAGATCCTAAATAAAAATAATATGGATTGCAATGATCTGGAACCTGTTGATATGATAGTTTATATAACCGAAGAGCTGCAAGCCCGCTACCATAGTGCCAAAGATGTATCATCGTATGCTCACATTTTTCAGGATTTTTTAAGGCGTTGGGAAGCAGACAGTGCCCTAGATGTTGTAAAAAAACAAAAAATTGAGTTTGAAAAAGGTACAAACTTTATGAGTGCTTGTGTGACAAACGTTGCAGATTACTTAATGCGGCCTTTTTTTATGCAGATCTAGATTGGTTTAATGTAAATCAACCTTTGACCTTGACAAGTTTGCACGGAAAATTAGTAATATTGGATTTTTTCACATATTGCTGTATAAACTGTATGCACGTATTACCTGAACTGCGTAAGTTGGAAGAATTATATCCCATTGAACGGGGCTTAATTGTTGTGGGAGTCCACAGCCCTAAATTTGAAAATGAAAAAGTAGCAAATAATATTTTGGCTGCTGCTCAGCGTTACGGCATCAAACACCCCATAGTAAATGATGAACACATGTCGTTATGGCGTTGTATAGGTATAAAGTGTTGGCCTACCTTGTTGTTGTTAGCTCCTAGTGGAGCTCCTTTATTGATGCTTATGGGTGAAGGCCACGGTCTATTTCTGGAATATTTTGTTGGCGAAGCGTTGCGTTTTTTTGGTAAACGGGGGGAATTGAAAAACTTTTTGTTACCTTTGAAGCCATTGGATTTACAACCAGCGTCAAAATTATGCTTTCCCTCTAAAATTGCTATTAGCGATGAAGGCAACTTTGCTATAGCTGACGCTGGCAACCACCGTGTATTGGTGGTAAATGCGTCTGGAGTTGTTCTACATAAAATAGGCAGTGGAATGGTGGGTTTGATTGATGGCGATTTCTTCACTTCGCGTTTCAATTCACCCCAAGGAGTTGTTTTCTTAGAAAATGATGTTCTGATTGTGGCGGATACTGAAAATCATGCCTTACGTAAGGCTAGTTTAAATACAGGTTTGGTGGAAACATTGGTTGGTACGGGTGAGCAGGGACATGATCGTATTGGCGGCAAAATTGGACCTTTGCAAGACATATCTTCGCCTTGGGATGTTGCCATATTTCGTACTCGCGATATGGACATGTCATTTCATATGGATGAACAAAATATACCCGAAAAAAATATTGTACTTATAGCGATGGCTGGTACACATCAAATATGGGGTTATTTTGCTGAAGGTGTTATTTGGTGGAAATTTCGTAAATTTGAACCGGGTACTTGTGTTTCGCTCATTGGCAACGGGACAGAGGAGAACCGGAATAATTCTTACCCGCAAAACGCAGCCTTCTCTCAACCTTCGGGGTTAGCAATGGCAAAAGATTTTCTCTACATAGCGGATAGTGAGAGCTCAAGCATACGTAAAGCGTCTATGGTTGACGGAAAAGTTTTGCCCGTTGTGGGAGGCGATCGCAACCCGCAGGTAAATTTAAATTATTATATTCAGTCGTTTTGTGTTTCAAAATTTTAAGAATATTATTTGAAAAATGTATTGTCTGAATACTTAGCAAGAAAGAACATATAAAAAAGGGGTCTATACCTTTCCTTTCTAGAATCTTTTTGCTTTTGGCGATGTGGACGGCAAACAGTATGCAGCCAAATTGCAACATCCTCTAGCTGTGGCCTATAACCACCGCAACGATAAAGTTTATGTGGCCGATACTTACAATCATAAAATAAAAATCATAAATTTGCAATCAAATTCTATTGAAACTTTACCCATAAAATCGTCGGATGGTGTGAGTTTAGAAGAGTTTGGCGAACCTTCTGGCCTGTGCGTAGATAGTCAAGGAGAATTCATTTTAGTCTCTGATACTAACAACCACCGGATCCTACGAGTTTGTTTGAAAAGTTTAAGGTCTGAAACTTTTTCTTTGAATTTCAACTCTATCAATAATAACACGGTCACAGATGGTCCTTCGAATTTTGCTCCGGAACTAATTAAGAGTCTACCATTAAGACTTTGCAAAAAACTGAGATTACTCATTAACATTACGTTGGATAATCAAATAAAATTTACTGCAGAAGCGCCACAAAAATGGTCGTTAATAAGCGCTAATAGTACCTTAAAAGCTCTACAAACCAGAGGCGATGTGGAGAATGGCAAAATTGTGTTAAATTTGCAACGGGTTGAAGGTGATTTATTAAATCCGCCAATAGAAAGTTTAAAAATCCGAATTTCGTTAAATCTGTGCGACGCTAAAACATGTTTAATGAAAAGCTTTTCTGTAGTCTTAAATGATGAAGAGGAAATTTTTCCGACGAATGCCGATAATTCACTTAATGAAGAATGCCTTCGTGTTCATATTACGACCAACCACATAAGCCTTACTTAAAATTGTGTGATTAATCATAGCGTTGTTAATTTCTTTTTGTAGTATTTCTTAAAATATTTTTTATTTATTCTTCAAGATTTGTTGTAATTTTTTTTAATTAAGAAAAAATCATTTAAAAAGTATAAATAACCAAGTAAAAACAAATCTGCATTCTATTAGCTGCTAACTTTTTACACCCACTTTCTTAGCCCTTTAATATAAAAATTACAAAGTAATTGTTAATTGCCGGTGTATTAGTAATTTGGACTATAAACGGTCATGGGAGGGTTCTGCGCTTTTTATGTTATTCAAGCGCGTTTATAGAAAGTGCATCTGGCAGCAGGAGCTTGAGGTTAGTAAATATATTTACCAAATTCTAGATCAACATCCCCTAAATTATTTGCAGGTAAAACGTTTTGTTTATTGTGTATATTTGTCAACATTCACCCAATCTTTCATGTGTATTTTATGCGACAATGAGCGCCCCAACAGCAAAAGTACGAATAAATGTCCTCCTCCTTTCTTTGGTTGATATAAAACCATTATTTTAGCAATTCCATTACAAAGAAAAAATAATTTCAAAATAAAATATATATTTTATTCGATCAGTCAAACGCAAAATTAGAATAGCCCTATATATTATATATAAAATGATTCGTTGGCAATATGATAAAAGTATGCGTTAAAATATTATATACATTTCGAAAAGATCACAAAAAATTAAACATACATTTATGTAAATGCCATAGCTGTGTACAAATATTCTAATATAACGAAGGTACACATAACTGATTGACTTGGAAATTTTAAAGATACTCGCGACAACTTGCCTCAATATCTTCATGTGCTCCAGCAATTTTGCAAATTTCGCCGAATATATTTTTTAATATAGCGGCTTGGCGACCTTGAGAACCGTCCAACGTTATGGTGGGTATAAAAGTGACAGTCGGTCGTAAGGCGTGTGTGGCGTCACCACTCAATTTCAACAATTCACCTCCACGAGGGCTGTCAAAACATTTTTGTATTAGGTCCCTGTTTTCAAGACCATGTTGTGTTGCACACTAGATGAAAATCGAGACGAGAACGTAAAATTTAATTATGCATTCATAGCAAAATTTTATTTATCTTTTAATTCGTAGCGCTGTTACTATCTAAGAATCCGACAATATACGTAATATTTTAGTGAAGAAGAGATTCTCTGCTAATTTACCTACGTGGTAAGCTTTTTCGTTATAATGGACAAAACGAATATCACCACAAACGTATTTTTAATACAATTCAATGATTGAAATTTGTTGGGAAATAATTAAGCATGTGCTCTGTTAGTATTTATGCCTCAAATCTAACCGCCTAAAATTTGTCATATAATTATATGCAGCATATTTGCTGCAGAGAGAAGAGAGATTTTCTTTGAAGGCGTTTAGCCAAGATTATGCAAAAATTCGTCATTAGTTTCAACTTCATTTTACCTTATGCAAAGCCTCTTTGGGTAATCGATTGTCTTTTATCATGCAAGCTATTACATCTAAACGTTTATGGGGATCTTCTATTGCCTCTATGGCGCAAGCATGATATATATTGGCTTGACATTCAACTGGTCCATGTTGACAATCAAAACGAAAGCTGCCATCTTGATTGGTAAAAGTTTGCGCCTTGCCATACGGCACCAAAGTCACTTCCATAATTTTTGAAATTTTTTGAAAAACCGGGAGTAGTTGTTTTATGATGAAATGTTTCGAATCAGGGCATAAGGCTTCGTAATACACCGATACTACAACTGGAGCTTTAGGATCCCGCACATAGTTTTGTGAGACCTAAGTGCAAGTATTTAAAATTATGTTATTGTCTCAATTTCCTAGTGTTCTGCTGTTTATACTTACTGTCATAATATTACCATTACCATTGTAGACTATGTAGCGAACTAATAGTAACAGTATAAGGAATAATACTAAAGAAAAAAATATACGTTTACGTGCAGGAGAACCCATTTATTCGACGTTCCACCGTTTCAATTATGCGGTTATGGTTAGTAAATGCAATTGTTCCATTAATTTCATCTTCCACTTTTCTTCCAAAAAATTTGTTGATTCGATTGTCAAACCGTTAATATGTCAGACGTACAAAAAATAGTGTTGCCTAATGTATAATAGTAACAGCAGGCATTTTTAAATATTGAGGGAATTTCATTAATGAACAATAATCCCGCTGTAGATGACTTTAAACTTTGCCGGCTTTTTACACAACTTTTTGGGAATTGACTAAACATGTTGTCTTGAGTATATACGCAAGTAAACAAAAAGAAAAAAATGCGCAGAAAGAAGTGATGATCGTTTCTATTAAATTTTTAGAATGGGTCATCTAATTAATGGTTATCGTAGACTAACGTACACTTTTTTTATATTAAGTGATCGCCAATTTGGTTTATACGGTTTATTTTGTAAGAAATGAAACACATTGGGGAACATTTATTTCAACGTTGAGATGTATTCATCAAATTGTGTTATTAGAGAATCATAAATGTTACATTTCAAAATGAGTTTTCGATGGTGTCACAAGATTAACGCCTATTTTAAATAAAAGTGGGACATTTTGTACGTTATCCAATACACTGATTATCTATAAAATCGAAATTCATTCGAATGAATTTAAATGTGATTTTCTTATAGCAATACTTACAGGAGTATGAGAAAAAGTCTACATCTATCTCAAATGAGGAAGCGAGCTGAATTTTTATGAGTTTTATCTTCAAGAAATTGGTATAGCATATCAAATTCTTGAAATTTGTCATGGTCGTGCAGGCGACGTCGCAAAAACTCCGGCAGCATTACGGCATCAATAAGTGGTGTTACACAAACAATTAAAATTTTTTATTTAATAAATTTTCATTATCACTAATTAATAAATAAGTTTGTTTACTTTTTTATTTCACTTCCTTATTATTTTTTTCTTTTGGTTAGGTATATTAAAGAAGAGTCAATTAGGCCCATTAACGACAAGAGCATTATTTATTTATTTTTATTTATATTTATTTATATATTAGCATTAGTCTGCATTTGGTGGCAATTCTATTGAATTGAAAGAGCGAGTCTGCATTTGGTGGCAATTCATTAGCATTATATCCCGAAACGTAATGAAATTTTAATACGATTTAGGGTTGATAAAGCAGTAAGAGGGTTGATACAATATGTCATTTCATTTCGTATTTTCGTTTTTACATTGAAAACACCCAAGTGGTAAATACAATGGAGACCGCGCTGCCATCTTGCTTTACAAAAAAACAACAAAATTGTGATTCTTAGTGTGGAACTTATTTCGTTAGCTTTATATTATATTGTTAACCTTCATTTTTGCGTTAATTGATCCATAAATTAGAAATGACCACTTATCGCTCTTTAACAAAAAAAATTTGATGAATGTATATTAACTTTAAAATGTTCTTTATTGCTCGTTTTTCATTTCTTACAAAATAAATGGTATAAAGCAAAATTTCAAATCACATAACGTAAAAAAAAAGTACATTAGTCTAAGGTAAACATAATTACATAGATAACTTGAAAAGAAATGATCATTTCTTCTTGTGCATCTATCTCTTTGGATGTAAAACAGAAACATGTAGTTGTACTTACACAGTCATACAGTTTGTCAATTCCCATAAAGTTCTGCACAAAGTCGACAAAGTTGCACTTTTATTCCGAAAATAGGAATCATATCTCATTGTGGTAGCTGCGGAAGTGAATAATGAGGTTTGCAAGTTAGATTAGATATAAATGAATTCTTTTCTCTTATTAAACCGTACGGTCTTTGTCACTTATTTTCAGATGTTGGCATCACTAATTAAACGTTTTCCACCACATGTTTTAACAGTTTTTTCTTTTTATTTTCTTAAAGTGCAAGGAAACAATTTTGAAAATTTTGAGTGAAAATTCGAGCGAAGGATGGCGAAAAGATTGCGGGAATATGTGAAATATTCAACCAAAGAATTGGATTTACATACAAAAAGGGAAGGGGCGTGTGTTCATAAAGTGAATACTAATATGCACTTGTCCATAGGTCCTTACTGTTTGGCCGATTTTCAGACTAAATTAAAAGCCCACATAGTACGCACAAAAATTGGTTACTATGACGTCTCTTTGGACGGTATAATATTAGATATAAAAAATATTAAAGTTTTAGGGCCATTGGCTGATTTGCGAGCGGATGACTATCACTTGCATATTAACTATAATGCGGATGTGTATATTTTCAAACCGGATATAGGAGCAGTGTTGACCGGCATTATTAAGCATATTGGTGCGAAACATTTGGGTGTCATTTTATATCGAGTATTTAACGCTCACCTAAAGTTTCCATATAAAGTGGCTAAAGAAGATATCCAAATGGACCAAGAGGTGAAGTTTCGTGTTGTTAATCATAATCTGCTTCATACCTATCCCTACATAGAAGGGGAACTCTTAACAGCGAATGGAAAGGAAATGCAGATGGGAAAGGTAAATTTATTTGATGAATAAAAATTCTCTTCCATATTTAGGTTTTCCTATTATATTTGCAGAAAGTTGAACATGCTGAAGAGCTTGGAGAACTTGTAAATATGATCAAAGAGGAATTGGTGTCTGACGAAAAGGAAATTCCTGAGACTTCCCTGGAAAGTAAAGAAAAAACTAAAAAAAAGAAAGTTTCCGACGATTCCTTGAAAACATCGAAAAAATCAAGAGCGAAAAAAGTTAAAACAACAGCTTCTGAAGCGACCGTATCGACGACTGATTATAATCGTCCTCAATTTGAAAGTATCACTCCGTCGCTACTACAAGATATTAAAGAAGAGCCAACGATTTCTTGCAGTGATGCCGAAGAGCTTGCTTTGCTGAACTCAACCGGAAAAATCGAAACTGAGAAATCCTTTATAGCAAATGAACATAGCATTATATCCGCTGCAGTAGTAAAATCCGAAAAAATTGTCAATGGAATTCAAGCAGCATTAGAGCCAGATTTATTAGAAAACATGGAGGAATTTTTACCAATCACACCTAGGAAAATTAAAAAGGAAAAATTAGATAATTCATTCGATGCTGAGGGTATTCTAAGTCTCTGGAAATTTAAAGAAGAAGCAGATTCAAGGATTAAAAACCAAACTATGGATTATGCTACTGATGGAAGCGCTTGTTCTACAATACGAAAAAGTAAAAAGCACAAGAGTCACCAAAACGCTTTGAATTTTTCTGCAGATGACACAGATTTTTCCCCAGGGCGAAGAATTAAGAAGTCCAAGGGCTCCCAAAGTAAAATAAGCGCTAACGTTGTACACTTAAAACAAGAGTTGGAAGATTGACATTGATATGTTTGCGAGAGTGTTGGTAGCAATTTAAAATATAATAACTTTCACTAAATTATATTAGTTGTAATCGTACCTTATATAATGTAAGTGCGTAAAGGTACGTTTCATGTATTGGGCGTTTCTTATTCTGTTTTCTCATCTTCCATCATTGTTAGAATTAAAAAAAAAATACTAATTGACCTTAAGCCCGAAAACGATCTTTGTCCGTCAAGAGACAAATCCATATAACCATCCAAAGAAAAGTTATTTGAAAATAGTCTTGCATTTAGGTTCTGCTAATACAGATCTTGTGTGAATATTTACTCCAATCAAGAAGGATGAAGGAAATTTGTTTAGCGAACAGGTCCAATAGAGCGATAAGTTAGTTCTGTTTTTAATTTCTATTTGTTTTTTCTACTCGTCCGTTGAAATGCGATTAATATGGATCGACTGTAATCTAATTTTGGTAGATGTGATTATGTTCGGTTTATTGGTTAGTTCTACATGCCCTTCATTAATTTTACACTAGGTTTTGGCAATGCATCTCACGTTAGTTAGTAATAAATCAAATAGTTGCAATATTGTAAGAGGGAGGCTCACAACCATTTCTCCCCTGCATTTAATTTTTTATTTTTTTTATTTTTTGGTATGTTGAACAGAGATGGACTAAGCCAATAGATTTGTGGCTTATATGTCCAGCTGCATTTAATTTGACATAAATTGAAATGTGGAAAAAAATGAAATTGCAAATAAAATTGATGGAAGTTTAATTTACGTAATGAAACTCAAATTTTATTTTGCTTGTAAAATTAAATTAAATAAACAAGATAATTAAATAGGAATTAATCCATTAAACGACAATCAATAGGACCTTGCTTAATAACTCATCAATGTTAAGGTATTTTAAAATTGGCAATTGAATAAAGAAGAAATTACCGCACGCGCGACATGACCTTCAATATGCATGGGTTTTGAAAGTTAGGTTGCTACAAATTATTACCTCAAGACGCGCTAGGAAAGTCTAGAACCGGATTCCGACTTAAATACACAGAAAGATGTTTAGTTAGTTCAAGTTAGTAGTTACTTGCGTTAGTTGGCAACTCTGCGCGCGCGCTGTCGCCGCGCTGTTACTTTATGTGAAGAAATTTTGAAATGTCATTTTTTTTATCTTATTGCTTTATAGTTTCATACGCGTATAAAGCCTAATTAAATATAAAAGTATGGAAGTGTTTAAATTAATTGAATTTTATTGAAGTTTTTGTTGTGATATTCATTTTAGTTCTTACGATCAGCACCTGGTGCTCCCGCCAATAAGTCTTTTTCTTTTTTTTTTGCGTGTTTACAGTTCTTCTTTGGTTCGCTCTTGGTTTACCGTGTCTTTAACAGTGTGAAGTTTGTGTCTAATTTGAGAGATAAATTTTGTGTATGTGTCAAGCGTTTTGTTTTTTCTTTTTTTCACAATCTCTATCTTTTACATCAAGTCAAAGAAACGGACCCTGAACGATTCATTACTTGTTGACTTTGCGAATGTTTTTGTCATGCGAAGTGTGTAGGTATCAACGGCCATACTGCAGATGCAATCTTAGGGTTTTCTGAATTAAGCACAAATCTCGTAAATTCGTCTGGAAAGTTTGAAAAAATCAAGACGATGTTTGATGAGTTTCGCTATCTAAAGTATTCTTCTCACATCTTCTCCCATAGCCGGTAAAAGACCAGCTCGCAGTTTAGCGTGTGCTACTTCACCTCCACCTTCGTCTAAAACTGATTCGTCGAATCATATGAGGGCTCCATTCTTGTTTACAAAGAACGTTAGCGTTTCTGCTATCGTTGAGTCGGCCGATAGCAAAAAAGTTTTAGCAATACTGAAGTGGCAAGGGTGTCTCCTTCCAAAATTAAAGCTACTCTGTCCGCATCTCCAAAAAATATTAATAAAAATAACATTTCCGCCTCTTCATTTGACTGTTTGGTCGTTTCCGCTGGTCACCATGTTGGGCAAGTTGCACAAGCTGCACGAGCAAGTGCGGTCACTCTCTCCATATTCTCGTGAACTCAAAACTCTACTTGTGAATCCTATAAATATAAATTCGAAAATTCGCTCTACTTTTCTAAATTCAGTAAGCGCGGAGTTTTCCTGTTTGGCCTTCGCTGAAGCTTGTGTAAAGGCTGATTTAAATTCGTCGGAATTTTTTCACAATTCTTTCCAGGCTTTCATGAAGGATCTACTGTACTCCTTATAATGGCAGACTGCTAGATCTTTGTTTTGCCAAATTTCTAGAGATAGTTGTAGATCGCTGTTCACCTTTTAGTGCATCTGAGGATCCGTATCTTCCCACATTTTGCATTTCCTTTCATTTCAGTTATGATGGCCTGTTGCATTCTAATGTGTCAAATCCAAATTCGCCAAATAAATAAACCTATATGCTTAAATCTCATCTTTCACGCGTTACGCTCGATTTTTCTGCAGGGAATATTGAAACTCTACTAGCATCGTTCTATAATAAATGAAAGCGACAATGTTAAAGAAATTGAATTAAAACCATTGTTTTGCGAAGGATTTATATTTTTTCTAGGTAGAATCAAATTCTGTAGATTCCGTACAAACCTTACTCAGGTCGACTAAATTTGAATTTTAGTTGGGAAACTAAAATGTGCATTCTGATTCGTATTTAGAATAGATAGATCCACTTTAGGCAAACGACGATGACTCCATGTCCATGACTAGACGGAGGAAAGATGAATATGGCATGAGTCTTTTTTGATTTAATCGTGATGCATTCAATATGGTCTTGAAAATATAATGAAACGTAACGGGACTTCTTACCATCTTTTTAGAAATAATCAATCTAAAGATTAGTAATCTGCCGACATTACGGACGGAAATAAAAAATTCATATCGATAGTTTCAGCAACCCGGATATAAAAGCCGATTTTTTCGGTGCCACTGACACTAGTCCACTCCTGATATCAAGTGTCGCAACCTGATTCTCCACTTATACGATCGGAAAGGGCTAAGGATATAGTTATGGAGTGCTCAAGAATGAGTGGATTTGTCAAGAAAGCCAAAATCAGTAGGGTAGGCACAGGTATTGTCAACAGACTTGTTCAACTAATCCATGCAGAAAGAGACTAAGCAGAACTCTGCCATGGGTTTGGAGAAGAGAATATTTAATAGATTTATTAGTTGCAACCGTATGAGTTGATTTGGTTATATCAGGACATTCCGCTCGCACTCATGAATTTATGCAGCAAATCAAAGGGTGTGAAGTTGGAGTTAATTTTTAAAGGGCCAAAACGTTCATCAAATTTAATTTAATAATACGAAAAGCACATTTCAATTTTTTAGCTCGTTCGAAACGTGTATTCTTATAGGCTCGCTTGGCATGTTGGCAGCAGTATATAGGCGAGACTTTCCAGGTCGCGACCAATTTTCTAATAGACTATTTTGAGCTGTTCTTATCTACAGCAAATATTTAAACATATTAAAACGTATTAATATTTTTACATCGTTCATGCAGCATTTATGAAAATATTTTAAGTTCTGTAGTTTGGAGGGACAACGTCTTTAAATTTAATCGTAGCCTGACATTTCTATGCGTAAAAATTCGCAAAATCTTCAACAGGCGTAAGTTACGGCCTTTACAGACTCCTATTAGTTATGTTTGAATTTATCTTCGCCCACAACGTAAAAAGTGTTATTTTACTTTACACTTAAAAGAAAAATCGTTGAAAAGTTTGGGATAGTTGAGAAGTTTAATTCTGTTGTATTTAGCTATTTGTATAAAAACAACAACTTCTGCCATTACTATAAAATAATATTGGTTGATAACAATAAGGTTGAAATACTGGTTATGTGCTTACTTACGTATTTGATGGTGTTTTAGCAGGTTCTTGGTTATGTTATGCCCTTACGCCTTTTTTAAACTATCATTATACCACTACTACACTACTATTACTTATGGTCCGAAGATATATTAGGCTTTTGGGGATGTATGTAACACCCAGAAGGAATTAAGATACATCTCCCTTTTATAGTACCGATCGGTTCAAAAAATGATTGAATCCAAGTCTTTTCGGCCGCCTGTTTGTCTGGTTTTCTTTTGGTTATCAAAATGTTAGGGGCCTAAATTCAAAAATTCGTTCTACCTTCCTGAATTCAGTGAGCACGGAGTTTTCCTGTTTGGTCTTCACTGACACTTGGTTAAAGCCGTATCTACATTCGTCGGAACTTTTCCATAATTCGTTTCAAGTTTTCAGAAACGATCGATTGTATCGTAATGGTGGTGGTGTTTTAATTACCATTTCTTCGGCAGTCCCCTCCTATTCATTTGAACTTCCAACTATTCCCGACATTGTATTTCTCGCCATTCGAGTGAAATTTCCTAATAAACACTTATATGTGACCTGCTCCTATATTCCCCCAAATTCGAATATTCTCATATATAAGAAACAGGCAGCACTCATTTACGAAATGGTCAAGCAATCTAAGCCTACTGATATAGTCATTGTGTTGGGTGACTTCAATTTGCCTCAAGTCATTTGGTGTTACAGTGATAGTTCTGGCTGTTTGATTCCTACCTCAACATCTGGTAGAGCCGTTGTGTTCTCTAATGAATTATTTGATCATAATTTAGTTCAATATAATGGTACCCTCAATTGCAATGGTAGTTTGCTATTGATAGCTTACTGTCGTCGTTCTACAACATATTAAATCAAGATATTTTTGCGTCCGTTCGGATCAAGCAGTCCCGTCCTCGGAGCAAGTGTCCCCCGTGGTTTAATAAAACAATTAAGTATTACAAGAATCGGAAAAACAAGCTTTTCAAAATATTCTCGAAAAGTGGTGCTTCTTTGACTATTTCGCTTACTCTGTGGCATGGCATAAATTTAATTCTCTCAACCGCTAATACTATTGCAGACACCTTCAGTTTGTTAAATCCTCCTTGTTTGCTAATCCTAAATACTTTTTTAAGTTCGTTAATTCCAAAAGAAAAATCTCCATAAATCCCTCGCATGTGTTTTTTAATGGCTTCGAGTCCTCGGATGATTTTGAAACTTCAAATCTCTTTGCGGAATACTTCCGACAGAACTTTTCAACTGCCAATTTTGATTTATCAGCAAACTATCCATATCCGATTTCTAGTTTGATTTCAATTTCTAACTTTGTTATATCTGAAAATGACGTTTTTGTAAGTTTGAGCTCTCTAAAATGTAATTGTTCGCGTGGACCTGATGTAATCCCCTCATCTGTACTTACATCTTGTGTTGGCGAGCTATGGGGTGTTATCTCAAAGATTTTGAACAAGTCCTTGAATTCAGGTGTTTTCCCGTTGTGTTGGAAGACTTGTTTCCTTATTCCTATTCACAAAAGTGGTAGTAGGCAACTTAGGGAACTACAGAGGCATTGCCAAGTTGAGTGTCTTGCCTAAACTGTTCGAGCGAATTGTGGCTCAACATATAGCCTTTTCCATGAAATCGTATATTTCTCCTCTCCAACATCGTTTTCGAAAGGGCAGATCTACGGTCAGCAATCAGTTAGAGTTTATTTCTCATGTTTTCAAGGCTTTTTCTAGTGGCTCTCGCACTGATGTGGTATACATTGACTTTAGCAAAGCGTTTGATTTGTTTAACCATAGACCTCTTACTTTTAAACTCCAAGCCTTTGCTTTACCTTTCTTCTTAGTGGA